ATTTGAGGAGTGCCTTAGGGTCTACCTGCTGAGTTGATATCACATGTGGAGAGAACAGTTGAGGATCTGGAAGGAGACAGTCCCAGCATTCACGTCTTTCTCATTGTCTCTATAACAATATCTGATATGTCAATGTAGCCTGGTAACTGGTTGCTGACATACACTAGATTAATTCTTATTCAGTACAAGAGCCTCTTTAAATGATAGTGTCCCTACCTCTGAACCAGGAGGCCTGGGTAAAGTCCCACCAGAGGTGCATAATAACATCACTGAACAGGTTTATTAGGGAAAAAATATCTATAAGAGCTTCATTTTATGAGGCCAAATGCTTTTCCTCAGCCTCGCAAAACCAAGAAGGACCCATAGTTCCCTACATCAAGGTAGCTGCAATCCCAGCACAAAGTGAGGTGCAGGCTCCATTTGACCACATAGTTAACAACTGAAGGCTGAGACAGTCACAATTGTGGTTGCTCAGGGAATCAAGGAAAATGCAGTCGAGATAGATGATCAGCCATGATTTTGTTCAGTGATGGATCAGACCCAAGGGGCCATACAACCTATTCCTGCTCCTATTTCTTACATAGAAAACCCAGTCTCAGTTTCTGTCTCTCCCCTGCAGGTTGGGGCAGGTCTTCAGAGACCGCCAGCTATTGACTGGAACCATTTCTTTTTGGTGGAGATCATTATTTATGCACGGTGGTCTTCCATCAAGAGACATCGATTCATTTTGTCAAAGGCAGGGAAGGTGCAGAATGATTTAAGTTAAGTTTACGGGGTGAGTAAAGAGTTGCAGAATAATTTCTGAGAGCTCTGCTGGTTGTGAAGGAAAGCTACAAGTCAGCAGGTGTCTGAATCAAATTTGTTGCCAAATGGGGTACTGTGATGGGAGGACTGATTTGGCAGCGTGCTTGGATCTCACTCAGTCAAAGTCCGCCTTGCGAGCTGTACTCGCAGCTGTTTGGCAGATGCAACAATTCAGTTCCAGCTCTGCGAGCGATAGCACAGACTTCTCAAGCATTGTCTGTGTATCAGGACTGACTTGCCCCCGCAAAAATAAAACCAAAGGACTGCCGAGGCTGCAATTCAGAAACAGAAACAGAAATAGCTGGGAAAACTCAACGGGTCTGACAGCTTCTGTGGAGAGAAAGTAGAGTTAATGTTTCAGGTCCAGTGACCCTTCTTCAGAATGGATTGTAGCTAGGAAATGTTGGTATATATACTGAAAATGTGGTGATGGGGGTGACAGGAAGTTGGAGTAGACAATAGGTGGAGGTGAAGCCTAAAGAGAGAGAGAACACAGACAAAGGAATGGGTAAAAATCGGGGTATCATTACTCTAATGACTAAGAGTCATTAGCTGCCTTTCTGCCACCTCCAGCAGGATGCCACCATTAGATACATATTCCCCGCCCCTCCCTTGTCAACCTTCCTCGGGGACCATTCCCTCCAGGACACCCTAATCTTCTCCTCCTCCACCGCCAACACCTCCCCATACCCCCATGGCATCTTCCCCTGCAATCACAGATGGTGTAACACCTGCCCATTTTCCTCCTCCCTCCCCACTTTCCAAGGCTCCAGACACACCTTACAGGTGATGGAATAATTTACCTGCACTTCCCACAATCTAGTCTACTGTATTCACTGCTCAAAATGTGGCCTCCTCTACACTGGGGAGATGAAATGCAGACAGGACAATCATTTTGCGGAACACCTACGTTCTGTTGCAAAAATGACCCTAAGCTTACTGTTGCTTGCCAGTTTAACATACCACCATGTTCCCTGGCCAAAAATTCAGGCTTGCTGCAGTGCTCCAGTGAAGATCAGCGCAAGTTGGAACAACAGCATCTCCTTTTCCACTTGGGGACCCTGCAGCCTTCAGGACTCAAGATTGAGTTCAATAATTTTAGGTCCTGAGCACCTTTGGTCATTTCTTTATCCCAAACTCCATACACCAGGCCTTGACATCATATTGACTGTTACCACCCATAACCTATTGTCAGCCACCAATGGTCCCCATGAGCAGTTCTTGATTCTCCCAGGCTGACCTTTACCCATTCCTTTGTCTGTCCAATAGTTGTTTTTTCCCTCTGGGCTCCATCTCCACATTTTGTTTACTCCTTCTCCCTCTCCCCACCTCTCCTTCAGCATATATACCAACCGTTTCCTCGCTACAATCAGTTCTGAAGAAGGGTCACGGGACCCGAACCGTTAACCGTGCTTTGTCTCCGTGGATGTTGCCAGACCTGCTGAACTTTCCCAGCTATTTCTTGTTTTTGTTTCGGACTAGTCCTTCAGGTAGGCAATCACAGCCTGAAGGTCCTGGGACTGCCCCTGCTGCCTATCTGACTTGTCAAAGTAAGGGAAGACCAAAAGGCCTTGGGGAGTTCCCATTGTTTCCAAGGGCCCATTCCACAAGAAAAATATTTAGCAAGGTAAAAAGGGAGGAAATGCTGACAGAAACTTAAGGCAGCAACAAAATGTAAGAGGAAAAGAATGCTTCTCTATGAAAAGACATAAAATACTAAATATATAACGGAGGGTTCTCTTATATTTGTTGTTACCTTTTCAATGGTGAAGCAGATCCAGCGTGTGACAAACAGGCTCGGATGCCAACTCGATGCAGATCTTGTAAATTATCAGTGACTCAGGACTGTATAATAATTTGTGTTTGCATAACACATGAAAATGTCCAAAAGTAAAACAAATATCTGTGGATGCTGGAGATCTGAAACTAAAACAGAAAATGCTGGAGAAACTCAGCAGGTCTGGCAGCAACAGTGGGCAGAAGTTAGAGCTCACTTTTGGATTCTGGTGACTCTTCATCAGAACGCCTGATGGAGAGTTACCAGATGCAAAACATTAACTCTGCTCTCTTTCCACAGATGCTGCCAGACCCGCTGAGTTTCTCTAGCATTTTCTATTTTTGTTACAGGAAAATGTCCGAGTGTGTTTCAAGCCAGTGCAGTTAGACAGAACTTGATTCAATACATTTGGAGATGATACAAAAGATAACTAAAAGCTTGATCAAAGAGATAGGTGTTAAGGAACCTCTTAAAGAAGCACGCATACTTTATTGAAAGATGCATTCCAACAAAATAAACCTATGGGCAAGAAATTTCCAAAAGACATGAAAAATGCTGTGCATCAATATCGAGACATTTATTGCTTCAAAGTTACTCTGCCCAGGTCTGGTACTGCCTTCTTCAAAGTCAGCTACCAGACTGTCAACATCTCTGACACCTCTTTTTATATATCAGCCAGGGCTCCCTGATTGGACCAGATTAACAGCCCCAATCAGGGAACTCATTCTACCTGGCTGACTTCATTCCAGTCACTACAGAGAATGTTATTAATTGGGACTATATTAGTTATATGTGAGATATTAGTTTTATGGGAGTTATTAGTTATAATAGTTATGTCGAGTGCCCCCAGAGGTGATGAGGTTGGAGGTGGGAAGGGCATTTTATGAGATATGTGTTGCTGTACCTGATCCCCACCACCTTTTGCGTCCAAAAGAGTTACGATTAGGGCCGGAGCTTCACGGTCAATCTCCCTGATGACAACCAATTGAAACCTTTCAGTGGCCAATCAAAGACCAGCAAAGAGCCTCAACCAGGACTAGCCCTACTTGGGCCTGCTGATGTGCAGTCTTCCTAGAGGCTGTGGGCTGGGAGGGGATGTGGGTCTATCAGTGCCTGATTAAGGGTGTGGAACTGTCCTTCCCAAACCTTTTCCCTCTGTGACCCCACTTCGAACCTTGAAAGTTGACACCACTCCTCAGTAAGGAGTGAGAGAGTGGAAGGACAACACTTGGAATGCTACAACTCTGTCAGAGTTCCTTGGGGGCCATAGCTGCCTCAGAGTTCACAACCCCAAAAGGTTTCAGCTCGAGACTCCATTTGGAGTCATGACCCTCGGTTTGGGAAGTCCCCGCACCCATAAGAGTCCCCCTCCACAAACCGCATGCCTAACTTCCACAAATCTTTGTTCCTCAATGCACTGACAGAAATTGGTGGAGATACTAAGCAGGTCTGGCAGCTTCTGTGGAGTGAGAAAGAGTTAATGCTTTGAGTCCAGTGTTTTGAAGAAGAGTCACACTGCCTCTTTGAACTACTGCAGTCCATGTGCTATTGGTCGAGCCACAATGCTCTTACGGAGGCAATTCCAGGATTTTGACTCAGCGACAGTGAAGGAACGGTGGTATATTTCCAAGTCAGGATGCTGAGTGGCTGAGAGAGGAACTTGCAGTTGACAGTGCTCCTATGTATCTGGCCTTCTAGATCAAAGTAATCAGGGGCTTCTTGAACGGTAACATTTCAGGGCAACAGTTGCCATCACCTTCTCAGGGGCAACTACAGGTGGGTAATAAATTCTGGTCCAGCCAGTGATGTCCTGATCCCATAAACGCATAAAAAAAGTCGTGAGTTTGCTCATAATTTTGGGTCTTGAAAGGGGAATGAAATTTTCCTTGGACACTGTCACAAATGGTTGGTATGTGTTCAACAAGTATTATCATAAAATCCATATTGTGGTGAGCTGGCATTAAAAAAAGCTTTCTTTCCAGTTTATTAATTTGAACAAGTCTAAGAGGTTGTATTAAGCCTTAGACTTTGAAAGTTATCAGTGGAGGGCAAATTCAAAAACTTTTCAGAATCCTCCAAAATTGTAAATTACTTTTCATTCTGAATTTGGATCCCAGCAATCTGTAGCTAGGATTTTGCTTTTGAAACCTCTGTTAGAAAATAGAGCAGGTTGGCACTGGGTTAACCTCCTTCATTCTTCACAAAGATTCAGTATGTTGTTGTGCTGAAGGAACACCGATAGTAATGAAGGAGAAAGTGTTCTTTCTCTGGAAAAGGAAAGTGAGACATGTTCTATATTTTGAATGAGGGAATTGCTCGTCTCTAGGCAACGCATTTTGTCACTCCATAAATATCAATGTGTGCAGGGACAGATGCGCGTACAAATGTGCTTTTAAATTCCCTATTTTTTTTATCGCAGGAGGTTGCTTCCGAAAGAAGAAGGAAGACTCAGAATATCTGAAGGTTTGCAGTCAGAAGGTACATTTGTGTTTTGTGTGCAGTCTGTTTTTGTTCTTCTGAAAGAACGTGGAATGGGAAAAGGCAATTCAGCAACCAAGCCTGCACTTTTCAAAGAATGTGTATAACCCATTCTACTCCAGCCAAACAATCTATTGAGTCAAATTATTTGTCAAATTTCTGCTGACGCTGATGCTCTTCAATTCCAGGCAAACTGTAAATGAAAACAAAAATTCAGCTTTGTTACTTTTTTGCTTCACAGTGGTTTCAAGCCAAAGAATTTAAATTGAGTTCAGCTTTCAAAGTGTGATCTGACATTTTCAATATAAAGCCATTGTTACTTTAGAATTGAGTTCTCGTGGTGCATTGGTAGTGTCCCTACCTTTTGGATCAGAAGCTCTGGGTTCAAGCCCTGCAACGGGACTTGCTGACCATGGAAGGTGCATTTGTAACGTGGCCAAACAGATTAGTTGCCAGCCTGAGAATCCCTCCGCTACACCTTGGTGTTGGGTGGTAAGAAAGTCAGACTTTCCTGACTTGTCATTCTGCAGAAGGATAGGACAGACAACTGCAAAACTTTGCTCAAAAGCATGGGCCAACCTAATGGCCGTCTGTGGCCCAACCTCTTGAAACAAGGACAAGAGAAAAGGCAAACTTTAAGAATGCTCTGGGATCACAGCATCCTGCCTTGCCACTATATTAGTTATTCCCTGGCTTTCCTTTAATGTGTAAGCCTAAAACAGTTGTGCAGTAAGCACGGAATATTGCTTTCATTGATCAGTCCTTTGAACGTAGGAGTTGGGACATCATGTTGAGGTTGTACAGGACATTAGTGAGGCCTCTTCTGGAGTAGTGTGTCCAGTTCTGATCGCTCTGTTATGGGAAGGATATTACTAAGTTAGAGCTGGTTCAGAAGAGATTTAACAAGATGCTGCCAGGTATGGAAGGTTTGAGTTTGAAAGATTAGGCTGGATCGGCTGGGACTTTTTTTCACTGTAGTGGGAGAGGTTGAGAGGTGACCTTATAGAGGTTTGTAAAATCATGGGGGGTATGGGTATGGTTAATGATAGGCTGGAACGGTAGGCTCTTTTCACTGGATTGGGGGATTTCAAGATGAGGGGGCATATTTTTAAGGTGAGAGATTTTAAAAAAACACATGAGGGGTAATTTTGTTACACAGAGGGTGGGATGAGCTTCCTGAGGAAGTTGTGAATGCAGGCACAGTTACAACATTTAAAAGACGCTTAGGTAAGTACATCAATAGGAAAGGTTTGGAGGGATATGGGCCAGGAGCAGGCAGGTGGGACTAGTTTAGTTTGGGACTATGGCATGGACTGGTTGGACCGAAGGGTCTGTTTTGGTGCTGTATGACTCAATGACTCTATGACAACTGAATGGGAGATCTTATCTCATTCTACACACTGACCTTGGCAGAATTGGGGCCTTGGTAATTGTACGGCTCCAGTTTAGACTCCATCCTTAGCTATTTGGAATGTGAACACTGATTGGTGGTGTTTGTGTTACTGTTTGGACATTGGTGGACCTCCTTTTAATAAGTACCAATCAGAGTTCTCTGATATCAAAGAGAACTCGTTTTCATCTTAATCAGGGCATTAACCAAAATGCCCATGTAGATAATCTCAACAGTATTGAAAGTATTGTAATTTACAATTAAATGGACACTGCTCCCACCATTTGTGATACGAATGTAGAAATTTAGAAAAACAGCTTGAATCAATAAAGAAAATAGTCATCTAAAATAAAATTAAAATTTAGGGATTGCTGTACATGCTATTCATGTCTTTTGGAACAGGACCACAACATGTTTAGTTAGGCATAACATCGTGGGCTGAAGGGCCTCTACTGTGCTGTACTGTTCTATGTTCTATGTTAGGGACTGTAGGGTACAAATCCCAAACTGTTGAAAAGTAAGAATGTTAACTGTTTTGGGAATCACTGCATTGCTTTGAGTGTGACAAGCAACATTTTCTCAGCTTGGTGCAGTAAGGAAGTGCAATGTGACTTTATTTAATAGTATGCGACCCCAAGGCCTGCTTTAAGACATTTTAAGAGCCTTTGTGCTGAAGTGTTCAACATTTAAATTGATTCGACTACTTTGAGATGTGAGGACAGTTTTTTAAAAAAAAATCATGCTTTTTAGGATGAAAGACTGGTTCATAATGCATTGGCTATCAAGTTTGAGAACAGGTAGTGGTGATTAAATGACCTGGGGTTTGGCTTTTAAACAAACCTTTCCGTGATAGCTAATTATAAAGCAGCTTTGTCTGCATCAGCTGCCTGTTTTGCTTCTTGACTGGAAGATGCTTTAGATACAGAAGACACCCCTCTCCTCTTTCCTTACCCTCCTTTTCACCCCATCACCACTCTCATCTCCCGAATAAACACTAGAAAGACACAAGATCATTAAGGTAATGTATTTCAAAGACATCCTCAAGAGGCAAATTCATTCTGAAAGACATGTTCCTTTCTCAGAATTTTGATTAAGCAAGGAGCATACTAAGGAGGTAAAACTTTGCTAATAAGTAAAATAATTGAGTGCCGTTTAAGGTGGTGTCACTGGATATGGTACTTTATTGGTTCCTAGTTAATCTGATGGTAGTGTGACAGAGCAGACTTAATTTGCTTATCTAAAATATTACTGTTGTGTTCTGGACAATTCAAATGTTTTTTTTCTTTGGATTAGAGTGCCATCTTTTCCATTATGCTTCTCCTGGAATTTAAAGTTCCCCTCTTCCCTACCTAACTTTTAAAATAATTATGTAGAGCTTTGGTTGCTGTATGATTTTCTATTAATCAAAAACATTCCAAGTCAGATTGCTTTCAGTTAGTGTTTTTTTCTTTTAAGCAAACCAATACTGTGGCCAATCTTTGGAACCACTGTGAGTCATAGACTCACACACTCATGACTTAACATGGTGGGGATTTGAGCATACATCAGTCGGATATATAGGTTATTTCCAGAGCCTACATTGCCTTGCAGACTTAATGCACAACACAGTTAGCTTACCTGGAAAAATCCAGGGCTTTGAGTATTTTAGTGAAGTGGAAGGTGCTATCCCTCACTACTTTCAGGCCTTCACACAAAATCAGCATTCACTCGCAAACATACCCATTTGCAGCGAGTGTCCAGCAGTTGCTAGGCAGCTGTGGGAGGTATGACAATCTTTTTCCATCACTTTAAAACAGAAAAGTCTCAGCTCGAAAGGACGCTTTGTGAGTGTTTCTGTGAAAAAATATTTCTGGCACCACCAATTGGTGAAAAGGTTTTGTGCTTGCAAGCTGCGATGATAGGTTTCTTTCTGGAGGATTTGCTATTGCTGTGCTCACTCCAGTGTGAGGAGACAAATGAGATTGCTCCAAAGGAAGTCTGCGGCCATCGCTGTCACCTTGCCAACCAAATGGTCAGGGAGATGTCAGCTTTACCCAAAGAAGCTTTTCCCTATAAGGTAAGATTATCCAAATAAATACATTTTTAAAAAAACAGCAACTGTGCAGCACCTTTCAGGATGTCAGGACTTACCAAAGTACTTATCAGCCAATAATGTACTTTTGAAAGTATAATGACTCTTCTATTGCAAAGAAACACAACACGATCTGGAGATTCTCCAGCATCTGCAGTTCCTACTATCTCTGAAACGATCTGGAGAACATCCTGACAAGTGGCAAATAATACTTGTTCCAGGCAATGATCAAATCAAACAAGACAGAATCTAACTATCTCCAATTGGCAATCATTGGCATTATCATCACTGAATCCCCCACTGTTAATATCCTGCATGTTAAATTCGATCAGAAACTGAACTGGACCTGCCAAATATGATGTATCTACAAGAGCACCTCAGAGACTAGGAATAATGGTGGCAAGTAACTCACTTCCTGTCTCCCCAAAGTCTGTCAACCATCTCCAAGGCACAAGTCACTCCCCACTTGGCCAGAATAAGCATAGCTCCAACAACACCCAAGAAGCTCACGCCATCCAAGTCAACTAAGTCCACTTGATTCATCTCCTTCACCACCGATAAACCATGGCAACAGTGTGCACCATTTACAAGACGCAATGCCGTAATTCAATAAGGTTCCTCCAACAACACTTTCCAAACCCACAACCTCAATTACCTAGAAGGACAAGAGCAGCATATACAGTGAAACAACGACCTGTAAGCTCCCTCTAAGCTGCACCACCACCTTCTCGAGGGAATTTCTTTTTTATTCCCACGTAGAGATCCTGGGATCTGGCACCTCTTGTGTAATAGAACCAACTCAGGGCACCCTGGCTTCCCACCTGTTCCAGGTACCAACCCATTGGCTCCACTTTATTGAATGAGTTCCACAAAGGATCATTTTCTAGTTGTCAGTTTGATTCCCTATTCTAGCTCATCCTACAGTAACAACAACTTAGATTTATATAAGATAACAAGGTGTAGAGCTGGATGAACACAGCAGGCCAAGCAGCATCAGAGGAGCAGGAAAGCTGACGTTTCGGGTCTGGACCCTTCTTCAGAAATGGGGGAGAGGAAGGGGATTCTGAAATAAATAGGAAGAGAGAGGGAGGCGGATGGAAGATGGATAAAGGAGCAGATAGGTGGTCCTTTATCCATCTTCCATCCTCCTCCCCCTCTCTCTCTATTTATTTCAGAATCCCCTTCCCCTCCCCCATTTCTGAAGAAGGGTCCAGACCCGAAACGTCAGCTTTCCTGCTCCTCTGATGCTGCTTGGCCTGCTGTGTTCATCCAGCTCTACACCTTGTTATCTCAGATTCTCCAGCATCAGCAGTTCCTACTATCTCTGATTAGACTTGTATAGCTTGTTTAAAATTATAAAATGTGCCAAGGTGCTTTGGAGCAAAATTAATCACCAAGCCAATAAAATGATATTAGTCAGTCCATTGGTTAAAAGCTTGCTCAAAAGAGGTGAATTGCCTTAAATGAAGGAAATAAGTTAGGGTTTAGGAAACAAATTAGGTAATTTACAAATTTGAGGCTGAGGTAGCTGAAGACTTG